CACTGTACTCTATAAGTAACCAAGAGGAACACACCCATTGTGTGGTTGGCAGCTCTATGTTTAATCCAATGCATCAGATCCAGTATATGTTAATTAAAAAACAATCCTATGTTTTCTAAGGATAAATAGTTATCACTAAGGATAACTATCCAGTTCCACTGGCTTAAGTTTAAGCAATAAAAGTTTTTCTTTAAAAACACAATGTACTTAAACCCATGAATCCATCTTAGTATCACTAAAAGCAGGCCAAGCTGGTATTAAACGCCTTACTTGTGATATAATACAAAGGAACACAGAACCCCTATGGTAGATTTGTATCTTGAAAAAATTTAATTTGAATCAAAATTCTAAGAACTGTGAGATGAAGAAGAGTAAGCTAGCAACATCCAAAGGAAACTATTTTCCCAATTCCGGAAATGTGGGGACAATCTACAGAATGAGTGACCCAATTTTCCCACTAAATCAAATAAAAAAATGAGAGGGCTGCTATATGATAAAAGATTTCAGTGATACAACGTCCAAACAGTCTGTGGACTCTGTTTAGATCCTGACTCCAACTGCTGCTGTTAAGATAGAAGATGTATAACAAAAAGAGGGAGTAGTGAGTTTTACATTCCAGGAACAGTAGAGACCCCAGGACCCTCAAGAGGGAAGAGCATGAGCAGAATGTGGGACCCTAACCAGAAAAACAGCAACACCAGAGACAGTGGCAGAGGTGATGGCAAGGAGAGCTAGAGCAGCTGAGGACTCTAGACTCAGGGAAAGAGAAAGGCTGTGTGCCTGCAGACAGGAGGCTGGTTTATAGAATATGCTCTTTGGTTGTTTAAAACGAATATATGTATTTGTTTATATTTTTTGTGTGCATCAAAAAAAAAAAAAAAAAAGGAGGGAATAGAGGCAAATACTGTTAACAAATGGTGCACGAAAAGGGATTGTAACCATTGCAATGAAAGAAAATATGATTGGTTGAATGCAAAACCACCAGTGTTCTGCCATGTCAACTATCATTCCATTCACAATAAAAACTTAAAAAGAAAAGTGCTAATTATGAGATCTCTCTTTTATTTGTTTTTAAATCTCACCTTGTCAGAGATGTAGTTTTTGTAAGTAGAAAACTGCTTGTCTGAAATTTGCTTTAAAAATACTACAGCCAAATAAATCAGACTCAAGAGAAGGAAATAGATAGAACAAGATGGGTATGAACACTGGTAAAACTGTCAAGGTTCCACAAAGGGCATGGGGCTTGAGAGTCTATCTTTTTTCTGTGTATTTGAAATGCACAAGACAGTTCTAAAAAGAGAAAGAAGATACATATTGCAACTCAGATTTTTCACTGATTTCTGGCTAGCTTTTGCTTATTTGTATTGGGTGAGAGAGCTCTCCTGCGCAGTTGAAGGAGCTGCATGTATCGTTCAAATATTATTAGCATGTTTCAAAACACCCACTCTCTTTCTTCCTTCCTTGCCATCAAGCTATGAGGTAACTATGAAACAGCTTTAACTTTGGTTTTTCGTGTTCTCAGTCTCCTCAGCTACACACATGAGTAAGCATGATAACTAACATACTGCTAGCCTTGGGGTGCTAAAGTGAAAGCAGTTATTTGTGAAATTAAAAAGACTGGAAAGATCTGGAAATGCCAGCATTCAATCCTCTCAGTCTATACATGAAGACAAGGTTCAGAGACACCAAGTGATTATCACAGTCACACGACCAAGCCAAGCACGTCCGTCTTATAGGTCAGCCAGCCCCATACTCTGCCTTACGCTCACTCAGCCACCATTACCTTCCCGTGTTCCTTCCTCACGTGTGATATGTAAACATCTCTCTGCGTGAATAGCCGGTCGCACTCCCAACACGTCCACCCAGGACTAGCCACTTTCTTGGGCTCCATGGATTTCTTCACGGGAGATGGAGATTTCTTTTCCAACTTCTCTTTCCCATTCATGATCTTGGTGTCTTCTTTGTTTTGATTTGCTGAGTTTTGAGTTGCAGGTTTAATGCTCAAAGGCAAGTTTATACCCAAGTTTGGAGGTCCTTCAATACTTTTCAATGTTCCATGCATCGACTAAATTATAAAAAGAAAAGACATAATTTGTCACAAATCACATCACCAAAAGGCAGCACATGTAGGCTTTCTTAATACGTTATAGACAAATCAGTAGGAACTTCATATTCATCTAGAATTCTTTAATCTATGCAGAAGAAAATCTGAGATACATAAGCACTAAAAGAGAGAGAAAGGAGAATTAACTTTAATGATCGCTGTAAGTTATGTATTTCTGGTTTCAAATTACTTACTAAAGTTTACTTATTTATGCCATTCTGAAGTCTTAAGGAAAGAACTCTATTGAATCTAAATTGATTCTGGCAATTTATCCTCTCACAATGACACACAGTGACTACTTCAGTCTGTAGACATTTCGAGTCTATCCAGAAATACCAAAATAAGCTATCAGCTATTTAGGAGTCCTGGGGTGGTGCTGTATGATAAAGCACTGGACTGCTAATGCAAGGTTGGAGGTTCAAACCCACCTGTCACTCCTTAGAAGCCCTATAAAGGGTTGCATCAACTCGACAACACTTAACAATGAGGTATTTGCGCTTCATAGCCCACCTACTTCACAGCCCACCTACGTGAACAAACGCCTAAGACCTAACAGTCACTACGTTCTCTTCCTTTTAGAATAGTTGTAGCTAATTTGAGCGGGGGGCGAGAGATTGTGATTTTTAAAATTTTTTATCATTATAATCACCTACCGGACCCCAGTCCTTCCCTTCTTATTAACAGGGTCCAGACTTGCAAACTACACACAGCAGTAGTTGTGTGCTGTCCAGTCATGTCTGACTCATAAGAGTCCCTGTAGAGGATTTTCACAGATATAAATCCGAATCGGGCTGTGAACATCAAGGTCAGCAGTCAGCAGTTCGAAACTACCAGCAGTTCCACAGGAGAAAGATGAGGCTTTCTGCTCCCGTAAAGATTTACAGCCTCGGAAACCCTGTGCAGGGTCACTATGGGTCGGAACCGACTCCACAGCACTTAACAACAACATATCTTTAAGAGAGCAGAAAGCCTCATCTTTGTCCCACAGAGTGGCTGGTGGATTCAAACTGCTGACCTTGTGGCTCTCCTAATCCACTATGCTACCAGGATGCTTTCAACTATACACAGTTGTTGTTGTTGCTGTTAAGCGCCATTGAGTCGGTTTTGACTCATAGTGATTCTGTATAAGATTTCCAAGGAGCAGCTGGTGAGTAAGATCCACCGACCTTATGGTCCAGTGCTTTATCCCACAGCCCCACACCAGGCCTCCATTATACACAGTAGACACTTTAAAAAAAAAAAAAGACCATTGCAAATTGCTTAGCCACACAACAGCCACCATCTCCAATTTAAACTGACAGGTTCTAAATTCTAGTGGGGTACATTTAGTACAATTAGATTCTAAAGACCAGCTCATTTTGGTTTTGGTCTGTTAGTTTGAAAAGTACTGAGTCCAAAACATTTGCAGCAAATAAACTTTGTGTCTTGACGTCTAATTTATCTTTGAATAGGATCTTCTCTTTTTACCCAAGATGTCAGCCTCTGTTAACTCTTGAACCTCTGAGAAAACAACACTAAAACCCTTTCTTACCATGTTTACCACATGCATGGCAGACACAGTGTAGCTCTCAGCCCGACATCCATTCATGAGATTTCACCTATTTCAGGAACTCTCCCTCATATTACCTCAAGGTGGACTTCCCTAAACAGCATGGAACCAACTAACTTTCCTCAGTACCATCTTATTCCAGGAGGATAAAGGGAGTCTGTAACTTCATTTTCTGGGGTTGTGAGGACTAATCAAACAGACAACCAGTGAACGAATTGGTTCACACCAAGGACCTGGGCATGATGTTGACCCATGATCTTTTGCAAATACATGATTTCTTAATAGCCAAAACAAAGGAAGCGTTTGCTTCTCAGGCGTATGCAGAGCAGAAGACTTTCTAGAAAGACCTTTCTCAAAACACTAGCCAACTTTTTACATTTTTAACCATCTAAACCCCAAAGAAACATAAAACCCATAACCTTTTGGTTACAACATTCTAAGTTTCTAGGCAAATTCATTTCTACTAACTTTAATAGTTGAAAAAGTAAAGCATTATTATCTAAGACAATCTCAAACTCCTACAGAAAAATAGTAGTCTGTGTTGCAATGGATAGGGTGTTAGTTGTTAAAAATGAGACTTTCTATTTTTTCCATTTACATGTTGGAAATAAAACTAAGATTCCTTAAGATGAAATGTCTTTTTTTACAAAGGAAAAAAAACTGAATTCTTTTAGAAATGACTTTTTCTCAGCTCCTATAACGGTAAGTAATTTCAATGACCACTTGCGAAGTTTACTTTAAATGTAAACGACATCATGTAGTATACAGCGGTCATACATATATCCAAGGAATAAATCTACATTTTCAGAAGAATGAGAAAATGATTATGACTTTGAATAAATTGGAGAACTAAAGATCGATCTGTAAATTAGTGTATACATGGGGAAACACTATTCCTAGTTTGTTGGTGGTATTGTGAAGTGCTGTCGAAACAGTTTGACTCATGGCGACCCTGGTATAGGTTTTCCGAGGAGCAGCTGGTAGGTTTGAACTGCCGATCTTATGGTTGGCAGTCCATGATGGATAATGCACTGGAATGGCAGGTTGGCGACTTTAACTCACCAGCCACTTTTAAGGAAACCCTACACATGGTCGCTATGAGTCGGAACCCATAGCGACAGCACTTAACAGCAACAACGTCTTAAAGGCTATGGCCCCAGGCCATTTTTGCTGCCTATAAAAGTGGTCTCTGGAACCAATGAGAGCATACAGCAACTTTTCTTCAAATTAAAGGTGCTTATGTTCGAGATGAAACTGAATTCTATTTAAGCTAGAGATGTGCTCATGTGCTCACAACGCAAAGACCACTACAGTGACTCCTGGCAGCAAACCAGTCATCTGGGGAAAGACAACTTGTGCCCAAGGAAACAGTGGCATGGTTCGTGCCAAATTCTCAAACAACCTTCCTGCTAAAGTGACTGGGCATAGAATCTGTGTGATGCTGAATTCTACAAGGATTTAAACTTACTGAAAAGTAAAGAAGTAAAATTGTGGATTTGTGTTAAAAAAACAACAAATTAATAGAATTTTCCCATAAACTTTTTAAGTCCCCCTCATACATTTGTTGTTGGTTAAGTGCTATAGAGTCAGTTCTGACTCACAGCATCCCTGCATATGGTTTCTGAGGCTATAAATCTTTGGGAGCAGAAAGCCTCATCTGTCTCCTATGGGTTTCAACCACTGACTTTGTGGTTAGCAGTCCAGTGCTTATCCTACAGATCCATAGTGCTCTCAAAGATTCAGGTGCTCCTCTTTTGGGGTGAAGAGTGGCTAGTCCAAACTGGGCATTTAACATTTAAAAGAACATTAACTGAACTGCTGGTGCTAGGCACCATGCTATATCCCGAACATCTTAACAGTTTTTTGGGTTTTTTTAAAGTGACTTTACATGCAACTTTATATGAAGGGGGCAAACGAAGCAGGTCCAGGGACATCAACTATAAAGAAAACCTAACAAGCATATTTAAGGGGAAAAGCCCTCATTTTCCTAAATATACCAGTATTTGTTAACCAAAATCATTGCTGTGTGCCATCACATTGGTTCTGACTCACAGCAACCCTGTAGGAGGTTTCCAAGGAACGGCTGGGGGCTTGAACCGCTGACCTTGCAGTTAGCAAGTCCAACACTCACCCTACAGCACCACACCAGAACTCCAAGATGCATCTAGTCAGGGCTATTTCAAAATCCTACACAACATTGAGTTCTCATAGAATTTGCACACAGGAGAAAAATGGCCCTGATGCTAGTGTAACGCTCTAAGATAAGCACTGACTGTGAGCCACAAGGTCGGTGGTTCAAATCCACCAACTCTTCATGGAAACCCTATACAGGGTTACTTTAAGTCAGAACCAACTTGACAGCACTTAATAAAACAAAAATAAATATTGTCTTATCAGGGCAACTGCCTGTTTCTCTCCACTTGTCTTTGATATTCATTCTGCAAGTGGCACCTCTAGAGTTTGAAAGCTCCCTCACCGCCCACAGCGTGATGACAAGAACTGCACAACTGCCCCCTCACGTCACTTCAGCCTTGCCCACACCCGATGGAAGCACCTGCAGCCAGTTTTGAGGAAAAGGGTAGCCGCGCACACACCTTGATATGGTCCATCATGAGTTGCTTCTGTGCATATAAGAGAGAACAGTCTGGACACTTGAACACAGACACCTTCTGGTTTTCAATGTGTTGGTCAAAGTGGCGATACAGCAAGGTTTGCAGGGTGAATACGGTGTCACACATGGAACATTTATAGATGATTCTAAAGCAGAAGAAGTGCAGTGAAACAACATCAGTCAGAGGAGCCGCTGCTGTATGTACAAGGTGAGAATTCAGGAGGCAAGAGCACATTGAAAACACACAAGAACAATCAAATCAACACAGCAGTTTGATTTTGAATCAGCATTTGAAAAGAAATAAGCACCAGTCAAATACAGACCTAACACGGGCTAAAGAAGAGGCAGTCAGCTACTCAGAAGGTGAGGGTCTGAATGAAAGACCATCTTTCTAGTCACTGAGTAGCAATTGACACCTATTTTTATGAGGGTTTTTCTGGGGTGTTGTCTTGTTTTTGGAGGTGTTTTGTAAGACCAGATAAGGCTTTGCAGGATTCCACACCACAGCTCACAGGTACACAGTGTGGTTAGTGCCTGAACTAGGAAGTCTGGTTTCCGGTTAGTCAGTACCAGCTCTGCACGTCAATATCTGTACTCATTCTGGAAAGGGTTTCTGAAGAGTGACTCATGAGCTGGAACCCGGAACTGTGGTTAACGCACTGCGCCACACCAGGGCGCCACTAACTCATAGCCACCCTGTATAAGGCTTCGAAGGAGGCTGGTGGATTTGACTCTGATCTTACAGTTAGCAGTCCAATGATTATCCTACAATGCCACAACAGGATGCTTGAACTTTGTTGCTGGTAAGTGCCGTTGAGTCGGTTCTGACCCATAGCGATCTTAAATAGGGTTTCTAGGGAGCAGCTGGTGAGCTTGAACCAGATCTTGCAGTTTAAATCAATTTTGCAGTCCAGTGCTTTAACTCCCAGCACCACTGGACTTTTGTTGTTGTTGTTAAGTGCCATCGAGTCGGTTCCGACCCATAGCGACCCTGTACAGGGTTTCCGAGGGTGTAAATCCTTACGGGAGTAGAAAGCCTCATCTTTCTCCCACGAAGCGGCTGGTAGTTTCGAACCGCTGACCTTAAGGTTCGCAGCCCGATTCGTAACCACTAAGCTACCAGAGCTCCTATGGACTTTAAATGACTTAAAATCCTCACTGAACACTATAAATTATTACCTCACCTAATATGTTATATCAAGCTTCTTGTTATTAAGTGCCATCGAGTCTGACTCATAGTGACCCTGTATAGGGTTTCCAAGTAGCAGCTGGTGAGTTTGAACCACCGACCTTGTGGTTCAAACCAACCTTGAGGTCCAGTGCTTTATCCTGAAGGTCCAACACCAGGACTCCAAACCAAGCTTACTACCTTAAATTAATTCAACAGACCTAGACTTTCTACCCACAACATCCTTCTACTCAACAACATCCAGCACTGAAGCTCGGGCAAGAGACAGCTTTGGTTGGTTGGTTGGTTGGTTGGTTGGTTGGTTGGTTGGTTGGTTGTGTGCTGTAGAGTTGGTTCCGATTCACAGCAACCCTGTATAGGGTTTCTGAGGCTATAAATCTTTACAGAAGCGGAAAACCTTATCTTTCTCCCACAGAACGGCTGGTAGATTTTAACTGCTGATCTTGAGGTTGGCAGCCCAACTTGTAACCACTACGCTACCAGAGCTCCCTTCACCTCAGGTAGATGGGAGTGACGTCACCAGAGGTCACTCTTTGCTGAGTAATTGTTTCTGACTACCTGACCCCTGCAGGTGGCACTCTGAGAACCCTAAGGCTTTTCTGAAGAACTGTGAGAAGAGGCACAGAGAATTCTAGAAAGCAGCTAAGGAAAACGTCAGAGAAAAGTGGGCTGAATGTGAAGGTCTGAGAGAAAATGAGGAAAGGGAGGAGGGTCTCATTTGACATTTCTACAGTAAATCTAGAGAGGAACACACCAACAACGCCATGTCTCTGGGTCTTCTTAGGACACTGCCTCCCACAGAGCCCTTACTTTACATTCCCTGTGTCAAAAAAAAAAAGCACAGATTTTTTTCTCTTTTTTCACATAAAATGTCTAAATTTACTATTGCTCCTCTATTAAATATGGAGTCCTGGTGTGGTGCTGTAGGATAGCAGTGAACCTAAAGGTGGGCAGCTCAAACACACTGATGACTCTCGGAAAACCCTATATAGGGTCACCAGGAGTCGTGACCAACTCGACAGCACTAACAACTCAAATTATATGACAGCATCTTTTGAAAAAATGAATCACCACCAGGTCAATGCATCATTGAGAAACAAATCAGAGTTTGAGGGAGGGGTCATGTCCTTGGATTACTTTTATATATTCTTCCTCCTACTTAACATAAAGGAGCTCTGGTAGCATAGTGGTTACGAATCGGGTTGCTAACCTCAAGGTCAGCAGTTCGAAACTACCAGCTTTCACGAGATAAAGATGAGGCTTTCTGATCCCATAAAGATTTACAGCCTCAGAAACCCTATACAGGGTGGCTATGATTTGGAACCAACTCCACAGCACATAACCACTACCACACTAACACAAGCCCATTAAATTAAATGCTTCCTTCAAAAATGTTAATAAACCACTAACACAACTTGATTAAAATTGAAATCATGGCTACTCTGAAGTTCTACGCAAAAATCAGAGCCTAAGGGCTCCTTCTACTGGATCTACCCACAATTGTAATGCTTCCTGACGCTGGACCCAGCAACACTAAAACATACGTCGTCATAGGAACCTGGGAACAAAAAGTGGAACAAAAGCTAAAACTAATCACTTATTCTCTCTGATGGTGCTTATTTCTCTTGGTTCATAAGCTGCTTATAAACGTCTATATTTCTTCTTGTTAAGCGGTGTGAGTCAGTTTCGACTCATAGAGACCGAGGCTTTTTGAAAGTTTTTGTGGGACTATAAAGCCTTATCTTTCTCCCGCAGAGTGGCTGGTGGGCTTGAACTGCTGACTTTGTGATCTGCAGTCCAGTGCTTATCTTATGGAGCCAGACATTGTTATTGTTGTTACGTATTGTTGAGCCGGTTCTGACTCTTAGTGACCCTGTATAAGAGTTTCAAGCTTGGAGCTGCTGGAGGATTTGAACTGCCAACCTTGTAATTAGGAGTCCAGTGCTTACCCAACAGTGCCACATAGGAAACAGTAAATTCTTACTTAAAAAAAAAAAAGAAATCCAATTGAAGATAATTCTAGAAGGAAAGATATCAGAAAACCCTGAGTAGAAAAGCTTTTGGAAAAGGATGTGGAATGACAATTGTAACTGTCACAACTATAAAGGTTGAAGTTCTGCAACAAAAACCGGGGAGTAATCTTACAGTCCAGGATCAGAGGACCCTAGGACCATCAAGGGAGAAGAGCACAAGCAGAATGTGAGGCCCTGTCCAGAGAAGCAGCAACACCAGAGATGGAGGCAGAGATGAGGACATGGAGAGACGGAGCAGCTGAGGACTCTAGACTCATGGAAAGAGAAAGGCTGTGTGCTGGTGGCCAGGTGGCAGGCTTACATAACATGCCCTTTGGTTGTTTAAATGATTATATATCTGAGGGTTTTTGTGTACATCCCTCCAAAAATACAAAACCAGAAGGAATAAAGTAAATACTGTTGAATAATGATGCACAGAGGAGATTGTAAGCATTGCAATGAAACGATGAGTATAAAACCGATGTTGTCCAATGTAAACTATCATTCAATTCACAATAAAAACTTTTTTTAAAAAAAGGATGTGGAGTCAGAAGAGAAGACTAAATGGGAAACAGTACATCAGACCAAGTACATCCAAACCTCATAAAACAAAAGCCAAACCCACTGCTATCAAGTTGATTCCGACTCCTAGCAACCCACAGGGCAGAGTCAACCTGCTCCCAAGCATCTGTAAGGATGGGAACAGACAGCCTCATCTTTTTCCTGAGGAGCAGCTGGTAGTGAACGAACTACCGACCTGCAGTCAGTAGCTCAATGCTTAACCCACGGTGCCACCAGGATGCCTTTCCAAACACCATAGTGCTTAAGATTGAGTGAGTGGCAAAGTAGGCTTAACAAAGAATTGAAACCCTGAGATTTTCACCAACTTAAAACATCTGAGACCAGACTGAGAATTACAACAGTTATTACTGTCAAAAAAAGAAAAATTAAGAAAACACACTTAAGAATTTGACTATCTCTTATTTCACTTGTACGAGGGGGCTCCAAAAAGTTCAGGGAAAAGTGGAATTAAGAAATTATGGGAGTTTTTTCCCACAAACTTTGAAATCCCTTCATATTTGATTCACCAGTATTCGATAAGTATCTAGTATGCTCTGTGGCTATGCTTACTTGTTCTTATCTTCTGATTCTGAGCGCAGTGTTCGTCTAGAGGTAAACACTGTCTAGGCTCTCAGCCCATGCCTCCTTCTATCTTCTTTCCCTACCACAGAAACACGGCCGTGCCCGGGGTGAGTTGCAGGCAGTGCTAGTGGGTGGAAGAGGCCTGAGGGGTCAGAGTCAAACTGGAAGTATCAATACGAACTCATGAGAATTTGTGTGTGTGGTAAAACACGTACAACAAAACATTTCCCTTGGAACCAACTTTAGGTATACAATTCCATGACATGAACTACATGTGCAGTGTGTTGTTGTGAAGTGCCGTTGAGTCGGTTCCAACTCATACTAACACTGTATAGTAGGGGTGGGGAACCTTTCTTCTGTCAAAACTTGTAACATCGTTCTCAGGCCATACAAAATTATCCACTTAAAGATTGCCTGCTATATTTGCTCAAACATTTAATCAACTCATCCCTAATACGACGGCTCCTCGAAAACCCTACACAAGGTCACTATGAGTCAGAGCCAAATCAAGGGCACTTCGCAACAACATACTTGGTCAAACATTAAATTAATTCACCCCTAATGTGATGGACGTGGAGTCCTGGTGTGGCGCTGTGGGCTAATGCACCAGACTACAAAGCCATTTTAACTTCAAGGTCGGCAGTTAAAGCTCACCAGCTACTCCTTGGAAACCCTATACAGGTCGCTATGGATCGGAACAGACTCAACAGCACCTCACAACAACAACAAATGTGATGGATACCAAAAACTTTTCAACTCTTCACTCTATAGACTGGTTTTACATAGTTTTGTTTTGATTTTG